GGCGGTTTGGTTCATGTGGCGGCAATGCTACTGCTAGGGTTTCAATAATTTTAAAAAATTAAAAGAGAGATATTTTTGTGCAATTGTACTGAAATTGGTCCTATGAAACTTGTGTTTCGTTGTTGGTCCTAAATGTGCAATTAACTTTGTTATTACTCATATTTGAGTAATTAACTAATAAATATAAAGAACGGAGGAAATATACAATAGCTCACCTACTTAGTTTTTAAATAGGTAAAAACTACAAGATCAGGGGTGGATGGCTGGATGTGCCTTGTAGGAGTGGTGGCATGCGTGCCCACAATGGATTAAGAGCGCGTTTGGAAGGATGTAAAATAATTACGTTTCATGCGAAGTGGAAGGACATAAAATGTTTGTACCGTTTGGTTTGATTATTTAATGTAAATTGTAGGGTTCTTCTTTAAAACATTTCACATTGTCACATGTAAAGTATTTTACATGGAGGGATGGTGGAAAATACTTTGCATGTTTTTTATAAAGCACTACAATGTCTTTGCATGCAAATTAAAAATAAATTACACTTGTACCCAAACAATGTAATGTATTTAAATGCAAAGTATTTGTTTCCCTAAACATTGCATGCAATTATTTCACGTGCAAAGATTTAACGTGTTAACCACCAAACGGCCCTAAGAGTAGATGGAAAATAAATAATTCTTATTTGCTAAATATAAAGTGCCTCCAATATTGAGTCTGATGCGTCCCGAGCAATTGTTGAAATTATTGAAGGAACTAGTGCTTCTGTAGCAGGCATGGTGGCAACAGATATAAGAGAATTGACTTCTTTGCTTGTGAATGTGACTTTCTCTCATATTAGACGGTCAGCGGAAATGAAGACTTATGCTATGGCGCAAGTTGCGTGTTCAATGTCTAATTGTCAATTTTGGTTATATTATGCTCCTGATTTTATTGTTTGTGTTGTGAACTCCGATCTTATTAATAATAATTGAGTTTCTTTCTTGCAAAAAAAAGTGCCTCTCATAAATAACATATGAGAAATTTCCCAAAATAGGAGCAAACATGATTTCGAATTCCAAAATAGGACTAATATATTTTTCTTCCTGAAATAGGAGTTGTTACTGTCATGTATAAAAAATACTGTCATGATTGAAAAATATTGTCATTAATTATAATAAATAATGTCATGTTAAATGCATTGTATTGCAACTATTTGTCAGTTACGTCTACAAGATTACAGTAAAATGAGTAAATACTACAATGTTAGTCTCATTTCGGGAATAAAACATAGTAGTTCTATTTTGGAATTTCAAACTCCATTTACTCCTATTTTGGGAAATTTCCCATAACATATCTTACCCACAACAGCTTTGTATTATTACAAGATGGACCGTGTATATTATAAAAGATAAAAGTTTAACGGTCAAATGTATTATTAAAAGGGTCAAATTGTATTATAGAAGTTTAAATAAAGATCAATTTTCTTTAGTAAGTCAAATGTTTATTATTTAACGGTTTGGGGGTGACTTCAACACTAGTGGAATATTTTACTCATTGACCATTTTAAGGGCAGATACAAATTAACCATTTTACTTGTTTCGTTATAGGGTTGAGAATGAATTTGGATCATTGAATTGTATTATGTGAAATTAAATTGTACTTTAGTAAAACTAAAAACGTGCATAAAGTGAAATTGAAATATGCAGAACAAAAGGTAATCTCAAATGTGCATTATATGAAATTGAGATGTGCGGAATAAAAGGCATAAAAATGTCATTGCATGGTAGCTTTTATTCTGCACATTTCAGTTTCACCTAATGCACATTTCAATTTCATCTAATACACAATTCATCATCATATAATATCACCGTGTCATATCGTTTGCGTTGCACATTTTATTTTCACCTACTACACGTTCAATTTCACAGAATACAATCTCACAGTCCAGATTAATTCTCATTTGAACCTAATTTTATGTATGTATATACATATAATGAAAAACAAGAGAAGAAAGATGAAAATGTAAAAAATGGAATGAGAAATACTGATTGATGGATCGGAAGGATGAAAATGTAAACAAAAAATACAAATACTTAAAGATCTGTATACCAAATTCCAAAAAGATGTGCACACAAAATAAAAAATACGGAGTACAGAATAGCAAAGAAAATTATCTATATAAGCTTTTATTTATAATTAATATCACTATAACCTGCGATTATGAAAGATTATGGCCCCATCAACTAATTTTTCTATTTCCGCTACTGAAGATTATCATTAAATAGTTTTAATGATTGGGATATACAACCACATCACTTATAATTCATCTACCTTACAACGTCCAACGCTGTAATTAAGGCGTTTAGATTTTTGAAGAAACAAGTGCCTGAGCCGTCGGTGGACACATATCCGCACATCCGACATGACTTGACCTTTTGTGACAAAATATGTAAGACAAAATTCGAACATATAAATACCATCTAAAACAAGACGACATGAAGACTTACCACATGAAGACTTACCTTGGACGACTACGGTGGTAAAAGAATCAAATAATTTGTGTTCGATTCGCGATTCAAATTCATATAAGACAATTCGAATTCGAAAAATTCAAATACAAATAAGAATATTAAATTTGATTCGAGTTATTATCAAATACAAATAAGAATATCAAGGTATTCGATTCGAATATTAATCAAATATATTCGATTAATAATAATGGTAATATTAATGTCAATATTTATAATAATAGTAGTAATAACACTATAATAACTTTTAAAAGATAGCAATGCCCTCAAAGTGTAACCCATATATACACTTTTGCATACAAATTCCAAACCTATTTGTAATAAATCAGAATATAAATACAAATACAAATCAATTTTTTTGGTTCAAACGTCTTTCAAATACAATACAAATAATTATGTATTCAATTTGAAGAATAAAATTAGAGTTGTTTGACTTTGATATATACAATTAGCAACTTATTTCACACATTATAAGTATAATTTCTAATATGTGTGTGTTAGTGTTTATTTAAAAAAGTTTGAAATAGATTTATATTTATTAATCATAAAATTAATTCACTTTAGTATATTGTGTATCATCTAAAAATGCATTGATCCATTAAACTTAAATTCAAAAACACATATTAAGTCATAGTATGCATTTACAACATAAAAAATATGGAATAAAAAAAAATTATTTTAGATTGATATTTGACTAAAATTTAACTTATGCTCAAATCGATTCGATATTCGTATATGATTCGTTAACTATTCGTATTTTTAAACAACTACAAATACAAATCAAAATTAATATTTGTTTCATATTTGAATTCAAATTCGTATTCGAAAAAATTAAACAAATACAAATATAAAATCTCATTATTCGACTACATTTTCACAGAAATTTTTTCACTCATTATTCGTATACAAACCTATGGACGACCACATTTTTTTCACTGAAATTTTTATTTTCGTCACCACCAAAGCAGCAGCGATATCCCAACCGTATTCTCAAAATAGTTAGGTCAACTAATACAAAATCGCTATTAGCCTAAATGGAACTAAAAGTAGCCTAAAATTCCATAAGCTTTGATTCTCTAAATAGGAGTAATATATGTCTCTTCTTCCTATTCTATCTACAACATATAATTTCTAATAGATTTATTTATTAATACAAAAAATCACAGTTTTATTTATAATAAAATCTTAAAAAATCGTAAAAATATTTATAAATTAAAAAAAATCGGGAAATATTAAAAAACTAAAAAAGTTAAAAAAATACATACAAAAATATGTAGGCCACTACCTCTGCCACCGACCAGCACCACCACCTCCGATCGCCAAAACAAGTACCATCTCATGTAAAAAACACTACATTTATCTAAAAATGCCATAAAAATGACATTTTTACTTTTTGAAAATATCCAACTTTGTTTTCAAAATTGCCATCATGATGACTTTTTTTTTCAACTTGACAATTTTTTTCCGACCACCGGAGGTGGCGGAGGTGGAAGGTGGCTGAGGTAGTGGTTGAGGTATGTATATTTTTTATTTATTTTCTATGATTTTTATTTTAATTTTTTTATGTTTTATAATGATTATTTAAAAAATCTTATTAGGAAGGACAAGGGAAGGGGTAGAAAACGAAGAGTTAGTCTTATTTTGGGAATTTAAACATTAAACTCCTATTGTTGCAATTATCCTTTTATTTAGGGAAATCTCTCATACAAAACCGCACATTATATCAAGGGAAAAGAGTCAAATAGACCCTCGAACTTACATTAAAAGGTCAAATAAGCCCTTATATATGAGGCTCTGTCCGGTCGTCGCCATTTGGGGCAGTTCCCGATGGATTTTTTTTTGATGAAATTTTTCGAGCATCTTATTCATTACGTCTAGTTTACTCATACAAAATTTCAGCTAACAATTCAATCGGAAAGGCATTCAAATGAATTCTTGAAGATAACTGCACTTTTAACTGTGCAGTTATCTTCAAGAATTCATTTGAATGTCTTCCCGAATGAAGTTTTAGCTGGAATTTGGTATGAGTAAACTAGACTTAATGAATAAGATGTTCAAAAAATTTCATCAAAAAATTCCACCGGGAATAGCCCCAAATGATGACGGTCGGACAGAGCCTCTTATATAAGGGCTTATTTGACTTTTTTATGTAAGTTCGAGAGTCTATCTGACCCTTTTCTAGGGGTGGACCAGTTCCGGTTCGGGCCGGGCCGGGCCTTTTCCCTTATATCAAAGGTAAAACATTCTATAAAGAAAGAGTGGGGGAACATTATAAATCAAACTTCCACACTTATCCTCTCATTCTAATTTGTCCTCTCTAAAACCAGGCAGCCATCTATCACTTGTGTGTATTTAAATCTTACTCTTATTTGATTTTAACTGTTTTTGAGTTTTAATAATTTTTCCCTACTTTTTCCAATGTTTTTCATATTAGTTTTATTTGGTTACTTTGGATGCTTTATTGCTTTTAAATATATTATTCACAAATATGTACTTCACCAACTTTTATTTACACTAGAGCAGAACTAATCTACTCAATAGCTAAACACCATTTACACAAGAATCAAACTATATTTATAGTTCAAGTGTTCAACTAAATACCATCGTATATGTTAATATGCATTGAATTTGATCACACATACTACTTGGCTACTTGCGGAGGTAAGAGGGTCTTGGCTGAAGATGTTGGCATTAGGAGATCCATGACTGATTATGTATTCACGTTATGTTGTTAGTTGGAAGGCAACTTCATAATTTGTCTTCTACTGAAGCAAACGTTGAGGGGAATATGAGTGAAATTGCTAATAAGGCTCAACATTTTAACTTCAGAGTGCACCTTTTTGTTTTGATTGTTCTCGAAGTAACGATCCCATCCTCTATCATCTCCCACTCCAGGAGTTCCTACAAAAGAAAGGCACATGGAAATGATTCAGCAATCAACTCCTTTTAAGGTTATTCTTCCTTGGAACCCTTTGAAAAGAGATCTTTGCTTTAAATAAAACCATTTGAAAAAACATTATTTGGCCTGTAAAGTGCTAAGAGAGACTTCATTGGACAAATGCAAACAATGATTCCTGGGTAGTACCTCTATGCTATGGCTAAGTGAATAAATATATTAAATGTAGATAATAATTTTCTGTAATTCAGATATGCACTGAACCACATTCAAGGGTAGTACCAGCATTGAAACCATATATGCTAATCGATTATACATTAATCACATTCCAGTGGATGGTTACTTGATAACTTTTCAAGTTTGAAGGACCTAATCTTTCATTTTCAACAGCTCATTCTGTTACTGCCTCTTTCTGACTAAAGGGGTAAATCAAGTGAATCTATGCATGATTGTATGAGTTCAGCAAGCTTGCTCACTTTGCTCAATATTCTGTGGCAAAAAGTTGTTAAGCGTAATAATTTTATAGGCCAAATGGTTTGGATATGCAGATAGCAATTAACAAGATGTCTCGGTTTCATTACAACTCGCTGAATATGAGTGTATTCGGCACTTCAAGTTCAAGCTTTCTTAGATAAAAAAGACTCAACACTTGACTAGAAATATAGACATCGCGAATGAACTGTACTAAATGCAAGCATCCCCATGGATATACACCCCCTTCCTACTATATAGAGATAGTTACTGCTAATCAAGAAATCATTGATCTAGTACTCTAATTACCCTATATATCAGTACATCACACCATAAGTATTAAAGGTAGCCGATATGGAAGAGATGTTTTCAATAATCTGCCAATGTAGCTACCCCTTTGCAAATTTTATGTACTTTATTTTCACTTTTATAGTTATTACTCCCTCCGTCCCTTATAACTTTGGCATCTTTCCTTTTTTGGTTGTCCCAAAAACTTCGACACTTTCCATTTTAATCAATGAATTTGTGGTTCCTATTATTTCTCTCTCCTCTGTACAAAACTCAACCACACAGTTTTTACTTAATTATTTCTTGTGCTAGTCAAACATGGCAAAGTATTGAAGTGAGGGACGGAGGGAGTACTTATTGTAGATAAAACATTACCCTAGCTCAACTAGTCGCCGACTCACTCTCCCTTATGGGAAGTCCCGGGTTCGAAAGTCCATGGAGGGATTTTCAGCCCACTCCCCCCCCCCCCCCCCCCCCCCCCCCCGGTTAAACAAAAGATATAACATTGCCCAATCAAAAGCTCATGGTTAAACTATTTCAACCAAACAACATCCACCCCTTGAACACAAGATTAGGGAATAGGAGATTAGTTCACAAAAGGAACAACTGATGCATCTCATATTGGAGTTGTGCTGATAATAAAATTATGCATCTCCTGGATTTATTTCTACATATCCTTCTTTCCAGCATAAAATGCACCCTTAAGCTATGCAGAAAACAAACTCACGTGCTTTAGCTTGAACTGTTTTAATTGGTCATAAAGTAATCACCTTAAATGGAAAAGATTTTGTAGTGAAGGCTTTGTGAAAGAATAAGGCAAGCTGAGACCTAATTCTTTAAGAAATTAGAATAAATGTAAAGCTTGTAGGCATGAAGTTAAAATTACCAAGATGGGATTAGTAGATAGCTTAACATAGTATAATGCCCACATATCCTGTATTCATGTTTCATGAATGATATTTTTTTATACATCGGAAAAGAATGTTTCCTGAATGATATGGCATAAGAAATCAATAGCATTTCAATTTATTACTTTTTTACAAAGAATCCATTGTTGCTTAAAGTAAAAATTTGCACAATGTATGCAAGAGTTGGTCAATGAGTATAATAAAGAGATAAAGATCCATGTATCTGCATTCAACTTTGGCCATTAAAAGCACAAAATTAGAAACAGCCAACTCCTCTACAGAGTAGGGAGGGACTGGGGTAATCTTGAATAGAGTTCCAACACAAAAGACAAAATGGAAGCAGATGACTTACATGAGTTTCAACTTCAAGGCCCTCAAAGTTTTGACCAGTCGCGTCAGCATGACATCCTCTGTCCAGCCCTGGTAACCATAGCCCCTCATACACTTGTTCCTTCATAACCCAATATGCTCTTGTTCTTGTTCCAGCCATTTGAAAGTTCTGCCACACATTCGAAATTAAAATATCATTGTACAAACTACAAACTCAATAATATATCAGTATGTTTCCCCATTGAAAAAATCCACATTTATTAGTTATCTACCTCAAAACAAACAATATCAGAAACCATCTATATCCACACATTAATCACATACAAATAAGTTGGGTGAGATAGAAGAGAAACTCCGGCTAATGGGATTTACTCATTGATCTCCAACATCTCTATAACGCCAACTCCAACACACTTGCTAAGAACCACAGGGTATTGTGTCTATCTAAATGTCTCTCCAGCTCAAGTTCATTTCAAAATCAAATCATCCAATCAAAACTCAACCCCATCCTTTCTTCTATGCAAAATCCAGATCAGGCTAACCTAAATTTAGTTCCCCTAAAACTAAAATATTCGTTGTGAAAAGGCAGAGAGACTGAAAGTAGAATGGTAAATGAACAAATGTAGTTCTGAGACACTCCAGAGTTGAACTTTAAGCTTTAAAAGGAAATAGGAGCCACAATAAATGATAACTACACTGGTTCCTCGATAAGTAAATGCAAGTTCTTCTAGCCTTTAGATTTCTTAGCCAGTTGTTAAGAGATTCTTTCCTAGGCAGCTCATTGTTAGCAAACTGGGACTGAGTACGGGTCCAGGGACGGCTTGGGGTGGCAGGGTACCCAGGTAAGGTTGAAACCTGCCGCTAGGGTTTCCTCTCTTCTTGCCTATGGCTGGAAGAGTGCAGGGAAGTCCGTGACTTCTGAAGACTAATTTTTATATTGATCGATGATGTTTATTATTCCTGAAAAGAATTATAAATAGGCATTATGCCATCATATGATTAAGTCCTATTCTAACTTAAAACTCTAAATTAAATATAAAGATAACATAAAGTTGGACTCCTCTTCTAATTATGTTTCTCGCTGGCTCCTATATTTCCTCCTACGATAAAGAAATCTCTAAAAATGCATCCGTAACACTAATTATGAATTTGTGGCCATACTTAACTTATGTTAATCTACAATATAACTTTCTCAGGAATTAGATCTGCTGAAAATAAGAAATGGGGACAGAAGTTGAATAAAGTATAGAAAAGAGAAACAAGAGATCTTTTCCATATTGCATGTCTTCAATCTTGAGAGTAGACAACACAGTAGAAGAGAGAAAGGCAATGTCAGCCACAGAAAGAATGGTAATTGCATCCAAACAAATACATCATGTACAAGCACGAGATGCCAAATTATAAATGCATAGCAACAAATGTTTGACCACATTTAAGTCCTAAAGAGACAAGTGCCTCTTGTTATATTAGCTCAGAAGGCTGTGAATGTGGTTAATCTTGCACTACCTCAGCTTCCATATGGTCTAAAATCTAAATTAAAAAACTAGGCATTGAACCTAATTTGATTCCTAAACTTTCCTTTTAATCTGCAAGTAATATCTGGACATCTCTGAGAGTTATCAAAACAACTTTTTACATGATTAATACCTGTAATAAGTGCAAGACCTATATACATATAGTACCTTAAAGTTTGTTTGCGAAGTGGGGAAAATAGGGTCTCATGCTAAGAGCTATCATCAGAAGATCCGAACTGCATTCTCTGGGAGAACCCTCCACCTGGATGCAGCATGGGGTTCACTGGAATAGGAAATTTATGTCCAGAACTCACCATCGTTCTCTCATTTATGATTCCAACTTCATTACATACGTGATCGAGAATCGCCAGGAAGTCCCTCACCACCATGAAAATTCTAAAGGGGTGTGCCTCTTCTCTGGTTGAATTCCCATGGAAGTATTCAGTTATCTCCTTCACTAGAGACATAGCCACACTTTCCTGTGCTCGGATCCTTATAATCTCCTCCTCAGCCATTTTTGCGAACATGCTCAGTGATTCTGAGAACTTAGGTGTGCTACTACTTTTATCCAACAGTAAAACCTCTACAATGTCATCAAACCCTTTCAAAAGCTTTAAGACATCACCGTGGAGGACATCTGAATCCATGTTGGCAGCTTCCTTCACATTTTTAAGCTCTGAACTGAGTCTAGAGACAGCCTGGAGGCCAATCCTTTGGTGGAACATGGTATCATCACTGAAGGACATCTTTTCGTGTTGGTTTGATGTAGATACACGAGCGCCTTCACTTCTTATTAACTCCTGAACAACAAAATGCAAGAGACTGGTCTTTCCATCAGCCCCCATGATATCAATGAGCTTGAGAAGTGTGTCAAGCTTGAACACATGTGCATCTTCATAGGCTGTCCCCCCATTCATCCGGTTCCCAGTCTTCAGAACTGCCTCCAGAATCTTCAAGAACATCCTGCTGCTCCTCAAATCTTCACAAGCCGACTTGAAAATAGTAAACAACATTTAGTTGGATTCTTGAAACAACACTACTGTAAGTCTGTAGCATGCACATTTTAAATCTAATTAGTACCTCAAGAGTTTCAAACGACCTTTTGAGATATTTTATCTCAGAGTCAAAATTGGAAATGTAGAGCATTGCTTGTATCCTTTTGAATGCGAAAGGTATGTCGAGCAATGCCTTGAGAAATTTCTCAGCCGCTCCAAGTTTGAATGGTGAGTTGTCTTTATACTCTTTAAGCTTACGCTCCTCCTCTTTAGATGGAACCATTTTCATCAAGCTCTCAAGAAGCTCAGTCCCAAGAGCGTCAAGATTTCCTGGATAAAGGAGCCTCACTGTCACCACTTTGAAGTGAAATAGCATAATAATAATAATAATAAACTAATGATTATAATGAAATGCTGAAAACAAAAAAAAAATCATAAATAGTCTATATTCAATTATCCGCTCTATCTTTGACCCTAGGTACAATATTGAAACAATTTATTATGATGCAGATATTTGACTTGCATAAGAAACAGAATCTACCCATTGAAAATTGAAGAACTGAGATTTCATACCTTCTAAGAGAGCTTTGCGTAGTTCTTCAATAGTGACATTTAGTGCCTTCAACAAAATCAAAATGCTCTGTGACTTCTTCCGGTCAAGGACACTGTTTTCTTGGCTCGAAGAAGGAAGACGTCGGCACTGATCTGTTTCCTTTAAATTTGATTTTGAATTAGGAGCACTTGTGGCAAATAGTGTCTTCATCATCTCCTCACCCACCCTACAATTAAACCAGCTCAATATCAATTTCCAAATAAAAACACAATCCAAGCAAAAACAAAAAATTAAATTTGCAATGTAAACAATAAAGTTGACATACTAGTTCCAAAATATCATACTTAAATGAGTTTGATTGCAAATGGTCACACACTATTTCCCCATGTGAACTGGCCAGCACTTTATCACAATGCAAAGTTTTCAACATTGGTTTTGTCTTGTACTCATTCTTTTCAGAACTTTCAGTTGAACAGAGCCCAACCATCTGTGCATTACTCTCACCACACTCTGTTTTAAGAGGCATCTGAACTGGAGAAGACATCGGACTCTCAATTTTTATCTGTCTGAAAGAATTGACTAGTTCAGGGAATTCACCCATGCTGGGAGTGTGTGGACTTTCCCACAGTTTAGTTGAGGGAGGGAGAGCTGGGGGTGTGAGAGCTGGAGTAGTAAAAGAAGCTCCTGGTGGCGAAGGGGATGGTGCAGCAGAAATTGGTAGGCTCTGGCCACTCTGTGGGAGTGCAGTGCTGGTTCTTGCATGAGATTCTGCACGGCTAAAGCTAATTCTCTCAGGAGATTCAATTCCTTGGATGTCAAGTCTAAAATGAGAGTCCAACTGAGGTGGAGATTCCACACTGTTGCAGATTCTGAGAGGAGATTTTATACTGCGATCCCAAGTGCATGAAGTTCCAGGAGATGAATCTATGCTTCTTCTAGAATCTCTCTCAGGCGATGATGAACTCGCAGGCGAGGGAGAATCAGATTCTCTCGTATACGCCCAATGCGCCACATAGACTGGCGGTGGATGCTGCTGCGGAGACTGATGCTGAAGTGGAGAAAGAGCAGTTTGAATAGGAGGAGTTTCAGGTGACCTCATCCTTGAACAGGATTTAGGCGGGGGAATTCTCAAACAGGCTGACATCTTTGGCGAGGAAGAAGATGAGGAGGATTGTTCAAAATTTTCGACTTCAACCGCTGAGAATGCTCTCCTGGAAGCCGATCCAGTTCCGATGGAACTCTCTCTATCACCCAACGACCCTTTGGGAGAATAAAACACGTCAGTCTCTTCGTCTGCTTCGGAACCAATCTCGTAGTGAAGCTCAAAGCTCTGCCTGTGAAGCGGCGCTAACGAGCGTAGCTCCGGCGAGCCCGGATTTAGAGGCCTCACATTTCTAGTGGAGATACTGCTAGGAGTGGTTTGAAGATTGCGCGGTGCGCTTGCTCCGTGTAAATTGGCCACAGTGCCCAAGTAAAGGAGCTCGGAACTGGTTTGAGGTGGCCTATGGAGCTTCGGAGCGAGCGGGTTACGGCTGCCGCCTATACTATTGCAGTAACTTAATCGAGTACTGCTATCGGATCTGTGTGATTTCCACTCACCGGGAACAGAACGATTCATCTTCTTCCGGAAAAGCAGCACGACGCCAATCATGATGACAATGACAGTAGCGGACGCACTAGCGATGGCAGTGCCAATGAGCTTCGAAGACACCGGATTACTTTCCTGGGCGCGCGGAACGATGATAGAAGATATATTCGCCGGGAAGGACGCCAATGCCTTGGGAGACAGCGGCCACGGAGGTGGAAGCAAACGGTTGGAAGGGAAGAAAGGAGCGTCCCCATAAGCGGGGGACGCCGGCGGTGCAGAGACAGGGGGGTCGGAACGTAGAGACTGGAAGGGCTGGTGAAGAATGCGGCGGGTGTGGGCGGTGGAGGATAGACAGTAGACGGAGCACGACAAGAGAAGCAAGAAGAAGGTGGCTGGAGACATTGTTGGGGTGATTAAGAGCGGAGATGAGCAATGAATAAGGTAAGCTGCTCCGATGAATAAGATTTACTGAGAAAGAGAAAGGGGAAAAAGTGGAGATCTACGCAGTCTCCCATGGTGGAGACAGTGACCAAGACGAGTGAAAAGGTTAGAAACGGTAGGATTGATCTTTTTGTTTTAACTGGGTTACTTTTGTCCTGGAGGATGCCCCTCCTTCGTACTCCTTTTTACTCATTACTTCGGGTTTTTACAGGAGAGTAGGGTTTTTACGGGATTGACTTTCACGTTTGACAACGCACAATTTTATTTTGACTTTAATTATATTTAACTATGTATTAGTAAACATTATAAAAGATTGATATTTTAGAAATTCACATTGATAGGAATTCAATAACATTTTATACGTAATAATTTGATTATATATATTAACAGAAATTCGTGGTCAAAGTAAGGTCTGTGAATAGTGCAAAAATCACAATGTTGTAATAATTAAAGAACACATGAAGTATTATATTGTATCTGATATTTGTGAGTACACAAATTTGATTTTTAAGTGTTAGTCAAGTACACCCGGTAAATTAACACGTCAATTCGTCTCAGTTGGCTAACAAAATGCTAATAAGTTGACTTCTCGAAGGTTGACGCCTGCCCTCGACCGCTTGATAGACTTTTCCTTGATCGGCGTCAGTTCCCCGCATGTCGACTTCCCCTTGACCCGCTGGTCGACCTCTGAAGGTCAACTTACCATTTTTAGTCGACTTCCTAAAGGTCGATGCCATAATCGTGGCCGTTAGCCCTTCTTAATTAACATTTTATTAGTCAACTCAGTCATATTAACGTGTTAATCTAACCAATGTACTCAATTAACACTAAAAATTGAAATTATGTATTAAGAATGTCAAATGCAAGATAGTGTACTCTTAACTCCATCTCGTGCAAGTTGACGTACTCAATTGGCCCATACCTCGTGTTTACTATGTTTAACAAATTGGACCGGACTAACCTAATCAGCACGGAAACCCGTGAACCGCCCAATAATCTGGTTAGTTACCAATAACCCACAAATATGTTGAAAACCAGAAAACCCCAATGAACTGGTCTGGGTCTGGACTAACCCAAAACAACCGCAACCCAAGAGACGCGGAAGACTCGAATAACCACTCAAAAAAATCACATGGATGGGTGTCAATCGCTGGTGTACGCTATGAAATATTGGGCAGCCTTCAAAGTCACCAACGGACGTTGTCTGGTTTAAAAAGCTTTCAACGAATGTTGGGCAGACCTTCAAATGTTGAGCCTCAATCCACGGATAGCGAGTGAGATCTGACCCTGATATACGAGAATCTTTGTACAATTTTACATAGTAACCTCTTATTCCAGTTCTTGAGATTCGAACACGAGACTTAACCCTTGTGGCATCCTCTATCTACCGGTTGAGCTACGCCCACCGACCATTAAAAGCTCCTTTACTATTGTTATATATTGTATTGTTTCTACCTCCTTTACTGTAAAAACAACACACACAAAATGTTATATAACCTATTGTTTCAACTACTATAATATCTAATTATGAATATATATATATATATATATATGTGTGTGTGTGTGTGTGTGTGTGTGTAATATTGAAATATAGTTAAAACTGCTTAAACAATAATTTTAAGATTTTATAATAAGTGATTATTTTTTTTTTTGAAAAAAGTGTGTGGTACATTAATGATATCTAGATGTTTTATAGATGTAAAAAAAATCCTAATAATATTATCGTTTCAAATAATATGATTGAATATTAAATATTTGACAATGATTGCATAGTATTGAAATATGAATACCCGTGCGCTAGGTGGTCCCTAACTATGGAGGAATACTAATCGATCTAGTCGGCTAAGAAATTAGCCTCGTACATGTCTGGCATCACTATCATCCTTAGATTACGAGGTGTTTTGATTGGCCGCAGAAGTAAAACTTCTAGCAACATTTGTGTGTAATATATATGTATACTTACATACACACATACTCCGTGTGTAACATCTTGATATTCACTGGCTTATAAAAAATTATAATAAATATCCCCTTTTAATAGATTATGTCCCTTAATTATATGTTATACCTTTCTGTCATCCTTTCAACTTTTTTTCTCCAAATGATTTTACTTCATTCAACTAATAGTTTAGATTGAACACCTTAAAATTCAATCCCAGACAATAATCTCTAATTCAGACAATAGCATTCAGCTTGAGCTAGCTCGTTCTTCCAAAGACAGTCATATATCTAGTATTCCGTGTAATATATATATATATATATATATATATATATATAGATAGATAGATAGATAGATTTAGGATCAAATAAGAACAATGCTTAACGTGAGAACGTCATATTCACCCCAACGTGTTGCACAACGAAGCTTGTATATTGCACATTTTCACATTTTCACCATATTTACCAAAATGCCAGCGTGTTTATTTAATATAGGCTTAACTCAAGCAAATTGAAAATGTGCAATAGAATAGCTCCATTGTGCACCACGTTGGTTTGAATGTGACCGTTCTCACGTTCTCACGTTAAGCATCGTTCTCACTATATATATATATATATATATATATATATATATATATATATATATATATATATATATATATATATATATATATATATATATTGAACTAAGTTGGTATCCCGCTCATCATTTAAGGGCATTTTTGTAAATGCATGTAATCTTCAGAGCATCCGGATTTCTACTCTCCAACCCTTCTACAATCCTTTCGACATCTTCTTCACCATTTCAACAAATGGACGCTTTAGCTCTGGATATTCCCGCACTCTTTCGCCATCTTCAATCTTGCCGATTTCCATTTTATCTATAAAGGATGGTCGATGCTCTTCTCACCGTGAAGGTGAGTTCATTCCTCTTACTAATGTAAAGTCATGATTTATTCCTCATATTAATCAAATCTAATATAAATTCCTCTCATTATTCTTTTTCATATGGTTCAATTTGGGGTTTTATAGTATGGGTCAATCCATTTAGAAGGGCTAGAATCAATTTCTTATGGTTGTATTAATTTTGATTTTATATCCATTTGCCTCATCAATTTAGGGTATGATTTTTGTATTGGATGCATAAACTCACACCTGCTTTCGCATTCTTGAAATTTACATATATGTCATCCCTTACATATATTTCAGGATATGTTGAATTCTATATAATCTGCTTTATCATTTTCATGAAATTACATAGGTTCCTGAAATGATTACATTTCTGTTTTTAGTTCTATAACGATACCACAACTTTTATGACCAGGTTTTCATTCCTGCTCATTTCTTTTTCATTTTTCTTTAGTTTACAGAGCATGCATTGTGATTGTCATTGGTGGTAAGAATTTACTCTTTCATTGGTAATTGAGTGGAATAGATGACACATGGATGAAGGCTTTGATAAGGAGGTATAGACTAACTATAAAAGGTATACTACTATTTTTTTTCATATGCATGCTTTCAGCTGTGTATTTAGTTATGAAAAAGCTAAATTAGTTACTTCAATATATGCAACATTACATTTGATTAACTATCAATTCAAAAGATTAAGAAAATTTTAATTGAATGAATTGTGAGATGAGTTTACTGCATGAGTTATTGGACCCATCTCTTCTATAGAGGTAGATTTGATACTTTTTTTGTCTTACACGGAGCATTGTACAAAACCAAGTTCTAAATGTAACAATTACATTTAACAAAAAAAATGAGTATCATCTAAAAACAGAGAGGTCATATCACCAATTTTGATGAGTGGTTGGATAGATTAGGGATAATGTCGTGACTATTGTGGTTCTGAGAGAATTTCATTTAGGTGATATTTGGTTGATTTCTCTTGGTGGCATTTCTTATGTTGTAATTTTAAAGCAGGAACTGATCTGTTAGGAATATCCACATGAAAGCATTTGTTAGGAAAAGTCTATGCTCTGTCCAAGAATAGGCTGCCGCTTGAGAGCAGGTTTTTGGATAGACTTTTGGCTGGTTTATGGTTGGTTTTTGATAGTTTAGATCAGGTTTTAGGCTTACTTCCTACATGATATGATCAAACTGCAGATTCCTGAATTAATGCATGAGTTTTATGTTGTAATTTTAGGGTTGGAACTGATTTGTTGAGAAAATTCAAATGAAAGCATTTGTTATTAAGAGTCTATGCTCTGCCCAAGAATAGGCTGCAACATGAGAGCAGGTTTTTTGGTAGACTTTTGGCTGATTTTTGGGTTGGTTTTTGTCAGTCCCCGAGATTTTGATGAAAAGTTTTTGATGATGCCAAAGGCTCTTCAAATGTCCTTCCCCCCTTCTTTTGTAGCATTAGGAAATTAAAGTGTTGTATTTTGAGAAGACCAAGTGCTAGTGAAATGTTATCCAAAAAGTGTCCCATCCGAACTATCAAATTAACAAATAAATATAACTGGAAAAACATAAAAAGCAATAAGGTAATATTATATTATCTTAAAAAGGATTTCTCATAAATCCAACCAGTTAAATTTATTTGTTACATCAAACATTTTGAACAAATAAACTATTTATTAGAACTGGAATACAATTAAGTTATCCTACCAGTTAAATACTTGGTTTATGTTCGGAATAAGGGATGGGCTATACACAACCAAGAGTGACCAAAAGTCAAAAGAAAAATATTTGTATTAAGTAAATTATACCGGCAAAGTCAAAATGCAATAAGGTAATTCTTACCTTAAAAAGGATATTTAAATCCTACCGGTATATATTTACTTTATCAAAAATTAAATTCGTCACAAAAAGGAAAAGACACATGGTGGGCATTAGAAGTTGATTTGTATCCTGAAGTGACAAATAAATGTACAATTTGTTGATACAAATAAAATAATACCGGAAAGTAAAAAATGCAATAAGGTAATATTTATTTACCTTAACAGGATATTTTAGATCCTACCGGTATATTTTATTTGTACACAAATAATATTAGTCACAGTCTCATAACATTATTAGATCCTACCTCAGGAGTCCCCTGGTGACCACCCAACTGCTGAGCCCTCTGCTCATACAATCTTACTTCCTGTGAACATCTCAAGTATCATCACAGTCTCATAACATCTCTAGTAAGAAGGCAGTTTGAACCAAGCTACGAATCCCAGTTTATAATACAAGCAGGTGGCTCAGCAGTTCCCTCAGTACCACCCAACTTCTGAGACC